TGTGTGTGTTGACTCTTCATGCTCATACAGTCAAAGTACAAAAGTAAAATATCAGGTAAAGTTAGGAAATGAAGCCACCTGCAGGTGTGTGAAGCAGCAGGTAAACCAGTGACAGATGATTGTTTTAAAGCGGCTCGTTAATAAAAAGAAAATGAATATTACTGGTTTTTAACTGGTTTTACAGTCATTGCACCTGACTGACTGGTTAAACTCTCTCTGTGATCCCAGAGTTTCTTCCTCACCTGCTCAAAGAGCATCATGGCGAACTTCTGGTGGGGGATGCAGTGTCTGGCTGTGCAGATGTCTTCTTTGGTCTCGTCTGCGATGTGGAAGTGGATCCTCATCAGGATGTTTTCCTGCACAGACGCAGAAGTGAAGCCTGAGCTTAGATAATCGAGTGAACGCGGCGAGGGCCCGCGGGCACGCCCGAGCTACTGAAACGCTGGTTCTGATTGGTCAAAGTGTAATCTCTACTGTAACACTGATCAAGCGCTGCAGCGCCTCCAGAGTTTGTGTGTCATCGTCTTACGAAGCACTCCGCAGCGTCGTCCATGATGCCGAGCTGAAACCGCTGCTTGTCCTGGAAGGTTTTGGCGAGCGCGCTGCGGAGCGCGTCGGACGGCAAAACTTTGTCGCTGCTGTACTGGAACTGAGCAAAGATGCTCTGTGGAATGGAGAGGTCAGGGGTCAGTGAGAGGAGGGACCGGGGTCAGGGGTTGAGGGTCAGGTTTGGAGAGGTTCTCACCTTAAGAGCGCAGAAAATGCACGAGTCCTCCATGCACTTATGGGTGGTCAGCTGACGGAAACTGCGGCGGAAGATGTCGAGGTGCCAGAGGACCTGAGAGGAGGAAAAACAAGTTTTAAAACGAAACAACGCAGGGGAGCATTCTGGGAAACGGAGTCAGAGCTTCACCTCAGCAGCACAAGTCCTTACTGACGGTGTGTCTCTGTGCTGCTGCTCTAACTCCACCAAACACATCGCCACACCTGTCAGCCAATCACCTGTCAGCACGAACCAACAGCCAGTGCTGTCCTGACCAATCAGAGAGCGGGCTTAGTGACCTGAGGAGTTGCAGAAGCAAAAGTAAAGTCTGTGTGTCAGACCAAGTTCGTCAGCATCTCCGTCTGCTGCAGGAAACCGTCTGCACCGCGTGATGAAGACGTCTGCGGCGCGATGATGGGAGCTGGCGTGAGCGTGCCCAGAGGACAAACTGTGCAGCTGTATGTGTGCGCATGACTGACAGGAAGAGAAAACACGACGCTGCACGTGTCACAGACAGCAAACATCAGCTCGCCGCTCAGTTTCACTGCAGACTTTATAAAAGCTCGTTTAGCAGATCTCAGTGACTCACGCTGACCAGGATCAGTCATCAGGTGTGAATCACCTGCAGGACACACTCGAGACGGCGGGCGCGTCTTTAAAAACATTCTTTCAGTCAACAATCACCTGAAGACACCAAGAAAAACAACCAGAGAGCGGTGGGCGGGCCGCCTGGGAGACTCATCTTTTTAATCTGTCTGCGAGAACAACACCATCTGCAACTGATTTTCCACAACACCACACATTTAGTTTATTTTTGGCTCTTATTTTGAAAGTTCCGTCAGCACAGCTTTTACCATTTTGTCTTTTCCTCACCAGCTGGCTCGCCGCCGCTCACCACAGAGCCGCTTCTCGCCTCCAGAGACGATCTCGTAAATAAAATGTTTGCAGAGCAGAAACTGCAAACTGAATTATGTAATATTTAATGTAAGAAAGTGCCTCACGCTGCACAAAGTCTGTGAAATACACGCTTTAATTTGAATGCTGGGGTTTCTGCACCTTCACCACATCGAAGCTAAGACGAATTAAAACCTCTGTTGATATCACACAGAAACAAACACTGACAGGAAACTGAATTAGTGGAGCAGAAGCTAAAGACGGCTCCGAGGATTTAAGCCGAGACCAGAAACCATCGAAGCAAACGTGTCAGAGCCGGAGGAAAGACATCAGGACTCGCCGGGTGGATAAGGGCGGAGCTACACCAAAACTCACCAGACTGAGACCGGAGCAGCCGTGAGGGCCGGCGTGGGTTAAAGGGGCATTACGCCGCATTAGCTGAACCCCGCGGAGAAGCCGGGCGCCTCGCCTCCCGCCGAGCAGCAGGAATCCAGACACGGAGGAATTTTTTCATCACTTTACTCATGAGGAGGGTTTTAAAACGATCCGCGGGGGCCCGGAGGGTCGGACAGTTCTGAATCCTGCAGTGTGTGTTTGTGTTTGTCTCAGTGACTGAGACGTGCCTGCAGCCGGGGCCGGCACCGAGCCGCCAACCGCAGAAAGATCCCAGCTGAGCTCGTGATAGAGGAGCAGAAACAGCCAGGCCTAACCACTCAGCCATCTGAAACAGTGAACCAACCATAACCACGGTTTAACCAGTACTATGCTTTAAACTTGCAGGGTTTACATTTAAAGACAGTCCCTGATGGAGGTGTCGACACGGTGATCTGATCCATTCACAACCTCACGACCTGCAGACTTCACATCAAACAGCCTGTGAGAACATGGATGACTTACTTTCATTCACAGTGAGCTGAATCCCTTCATGAAACATTTCACACTAACGCAGGAAATTATCATCAGAACAAACTCGTGCTGCAGACAAATGCTGGTGTGTTTGAAGCACACAGCCGGGTGTCTATTACACCGACACGGGGTGAACAGAAATGTGCTGATCAGGACGATTCAGACGTGATGCTGGGGCTTAAAAGCAGACGGAGAGGCGCTGATCTGATTCACGCTTGGACCTGAGTCCTCAGTGAAACAAACTGCGGCGTCAGCATTTGGCCGTTTGCTTCCTCCTTCCTGTCCCTGCCCCCCCGCTGGCTGCAATATGTCGCTGCGGCCTCCAGCAGGTCGACCAGGTAACAAACAGTCTGTGCAGATCTGCACGCCGAGCACACGTCCCACAGAGGAATCAGCGTTTAGCGCTTTTTTTTGCTTTGAAAGGATAAAATCAGCCTGCAGGACGCAGCAGGAGGAAACATCAACACCTGAGCACAAAGATCAGCCGGACGAGCCGCAGTCGTCACTTAAATCAAAGCCCAAACGGAAACCTGCAGGACGAACAACACGCAAACACAAAGGGTCCACCACAGACTCTACGGGAGCGACACTCAGCTGATAATCAGGAACATCCAATCAAAATCTGAGATGTTCCCTCGGTCCGTTAGTACAGTGACATCACAGCAGCATTTTACTGATGAGGCCATCAAAAAACAGCACAAACACGGTCCAGAGGTCCAGTTCAGGTGAAGCTAGCAGACAGCTAGCAGCTACAGCCACCTGTGTCACCATCCACCTGTCAGCCAAAGAGGCCACGCCCCTAATAATGCTAACTTTAATACAATTTAAACACATGCTGTGAGGGGGAATTATCGCTAGGGAACAATCAGTGTGCGTATCAGGTTATGAATGCTGGAAAGATTTAACATTGGAGTCAATGGGGACAGACTCACTGAATTTCCAGGATCAACAACTGAAGAAGTTTGATGTTTGCAGCCTGAAGCCTTTAAAAAATGAGCTCTGTGGTGTTTTACATGCTGTGTTCTTACACCTGTGCTGCTCATACTACACATGCATGATAACATCAACTCACACGTGAGTGACCAAAGTAAAATAAAGTCAGAGTGTGCGAGGCTTTCTTGGAGGTGGATGTTCTGAGCAGCAGCAGGAGGATGATGATATTGATGGAGTGTGAGCAGCTGCTTGTTACTGCGATCTTCTTCCTCTTCACTTTGCCTTCATCACATCGAAGCCTCTGTGCGTCCCGTCAGTACTGATGTCTCTCCGATCCGCCACCTACTCAGCTCGGCGCCCCACAGGCTCGCTCCGTTTGATCCGTTACGGTTTGACGTGACCGGGCGGACGGACAGCTGCAGGGTCCAAAAGGTGCAGGAGTCAGGAGGAAGCATGTGTTCATGGTCGGACGGACACCTGAGGCAGGTCGTTACCTCAGACTCTTTGATGTTGATCCAAGAAGTCGGAGCTCCAGTTTTGCCTTTCGGAATTCTGGGACTCATGGGTGTGTGAGAAACCGGAATATAATGATGAGCAGCAGCTTTGTTCACATGATGTCGCACACCTGCAAAGGTGCGTGTGTTTGTGTGGTGACCTCTGACCTGTGCCGCTCAGCCTCTAAGCTCATAACGAGCGGCGTTACTTCAGCAGCACAGACCGCCAGCCTCACCACGAGGGGTTAATGAGTCAGCCTGTTTACACCGATAATTACCACCCTCCCTCCTCCACCCTCCCCCTCCCGATGAGTCATTAACGAGCGCTGCCTTCAGTCTGGGAGGCGACGCTGCTGCACGCGTTCATTACAGCCTCACTCAAAGAAGCGGCGCAGATCAGCCGGGCTGTTATTAGAGAGGGTGTGTCGGACGGCGGACCCGTGTTGTTTACCTGCTGCAGTGCCAGCTGACTGGCTCAAAGGCACTGTGGCCAAAGTGCAAGGCTGTGCAGCGGCGAGCATTTTAAGAGACAGGGCGTCACGACGGGACGGCGAACGGCTCGTCTGGAGGACACGCGCTGACTCACACAGGGTTAAACCAAACCACCGCCAGCGCCATCATGCATTTAGAGCTTAGAGGTCATTCAGTAATGAGCACCGTTCAGACTGTTATTACAGAAGAAACACCGAAAACACACAAACCTCACACGAGCATCTGAGACGGCGCAAACATGTACAACATCTTTAATTCAGCAGATTATGAAGTCGAATAAAGGCATTTAAAGACCAACCATCTGTCTGTCCATCCATCCATCCATCTGTCCATCCATCCATCCATCCATCCATCCATCACCATCTGTCCTCCATCCATCCCTCCATCCATCCAACCATCCATCCATCCATCCATCCATCCATCACCATCGTCCATCCATCCATCCATCCAACCATCTGTCCATCCATCCATCCATCCATCTGTCCATCCATCCATCATCCACCATCTGTCCATCCATCCAACCATCCGTCCATCCATCCATCCATCCATCCATCCATCATCCATCTCCATCCATCCATCATCGTCCATCCATCCACATCCACCCATCCATCCACCCAACCATCCATCCATCCATCCATCCATCCATCCATCCAACCATCAATCCTCCCATCCTCCCATCCATCCATCCATCCTCCCATCTGTCCATCCATCCAACCTCTGTCCATCCATCCATCCAACCATCTGTCCATCCATCCATCCAACCATCCTCCATCCATCCATCACATCCATCCATCCAACCATCTCATCCATCCATCCATCAACCTCCATCCATCCATCATCCACATCCATTCATCCATCCATCCATCCACCATCCGTCCATCCGTCCATCCATCGTCCACTCCATCCACCATCGTCCATCCATCCATCATCCATTCTGTCCATCATCCATCCATCCACATCCTCCATCCTCTCCATCCATCCAACCATCTGTCCATCCATCCATCCATCCAACCATCTCCATCCATCATCCATCCAACCATCCATCCATCCTCCAACCATCCATCAATCCATCCATCCATCCACCCATTCATCCAACCATCCATCCTTCAACTCTTCTGTCCATCCATCCAACCATCTGTCTGTCCATCCATCTGTCCATCCATCCATCTGTCCTCTTCCACTTGTCTTTATTGGGGCCATCACCATGGACAGTGTGTCATGGGGCTAACACAGAGAGACAGACAACCATTCACACTTACAGGCAATTTGAAGTCACCAGTTAACCTAACCCCACTAACTGCACATGTTTGGACTGTGGGAGAACACACAAACTCTACACAGAAAGGCCCCGCCCACATGGTGGCGTAAACTCAGGACCTTCTTGCTGTGAGATGACAGCGACGCATGTGTTTCAGTTCTTCAACGCGGCCTTTAAATTCAACAGGTGTTTTCCTGAGTTTCTTTTCCTGCACAAGACCAACAATAATCATCATCATCATCATCACAGTCTCCACTAAGCATAAGTTGTGAAAAAATGTGAGGCCTGCAATTACTGACTCTGTAAAAATTTGAATTATTTGAAGAATTAAGTCTTTGTACCTTCTGGACGTGTGTGTGTGTGTGCGTGCGTGTGCGTGCGTGTGTGAGAGAGACGCAGTGTGTTCGCTCGCTGTTCTTGATTTAATTGTATGATTTGGAAAAATTGCTTTGTGCTCAGTGCGTTGTTTGCGTGCCCCCCTGTGCGTGCTTTGTGGTGTGCTTGTGTGTTCTGCGATGCAGTGTGCTTGTGCGGGTTTGAGAGAAAGAGACGCACAGAGCTCAGCGCTGTCTGAGCAGCTCGTTTTGTAATTTAATGCTGTTGAAAATAAGCGTTACACATAGGAAACATCTGACTTCTGAGTCACTGATTCCACAGAAAGTAACACACACACACACACATCTGTTGTGCAAAGCTAAAATAACAGGGACGTATCAGACGTCCTTGAGGAGATCTGACATGATGTCACAGACTCATCCCAATACCCCTGTGACACCTGAGCTGTTTTAAACTGGGCATAAACACGTACTGTTTAGCTCAGAATATTAAGTAAACTGCACAGTGAGCACGTTCGAAACAGACTAACAACACAAAGTACAATACGAATATAAATGATACTCCTTTTAACAGCTTATACTTTCTATGTTAACATTTTCACAGGATTAATACAGTGCTCTGATAATGTCAGTGTGTGTGTGTGTGTGTGTGTGTGTGTGTGTGTGTGTGTGTGTGTGTGTGTGTGTGTGTGTGTGTGTGTGTGTGAGCCTGAAAGCTGGGGCCAAAGGTCAGAGCGTGAGGCGGTACCTGCAGAGCGCTGTTCAGGAAGCAGCTGTTCTGTCCCGGCTCGTTGCTCAGCCCTTTGCTGGGAGCGATGGACGTCATGGTGCGAGGTGTCAGGATTCCCTGTGTCCCAGCCCCACCTCCGCCTCCTCCTCCTCCGCTGACACCACTTCCACTGCTGCCTGATGCAAAGTAGTTCCTCTTCCACGACATATTCCCAGTTTGTTCTCGTCCTCGCTCCCTGTAGGGATCAACTTCCTGTCGCGTATTCTCGCTTCAGTGCAGATTGATCCATTTCCTCCAGCCAAGAGGGAGGCGGAGATAAAAAATATCCAGAAACGAAGAACGTGAAGTCAAACAGGAACGTTAGCATCCAATAAAACGTAAAAAACAATAAATCATCTGAACGTTTGACGTGTATCAGTTATCTAAAATGTCTCACTTCAGTTTTTCAGGGAATAAAAGGCTTCACATTCTTAATGAGCATCTGTTTACAGGCTGAATATTCCACACGCACAATTCCCAGCATTCCCAAAACCCTCTGCTGTGTAATCGCAGGATTCCTGCCCTTCTATCCACCCTTCAAACATCAGCAAGAGCAGGTCATCCTCATCGCCGTGGCCACGGGGCTGAGGTCGGACACACACTCAGGTCAGAGGTCAGAGGTCGAGTGCAGGCAGCCAATCGGAACATACCTGCTGGAGAGAAAGAGGACAGGGAGGCTTTAGAGGAGGACTTTATTTACCGTCGCGCTCGTTCATGCTCTGCCTGACTCCCCCATCCTCACACACACCCAACCCTTTGCTCATCACACGCAGAGACAAACGTCTCTGATATTCTGTGTGGACCGATTGAGCCTGGCAGGATGAAGAAACTGAAATGTCTCGAGAGCAGCGCCCAGCTCCAACACATCAACACAAAGGGTGCTGTAAAGCAGTTCGAGGTGCTGCAGCGGACGTGTAACACCCTCCGGATTTAAAACACGTGCACGGTTACTGATGACATCAGCAGAAGCGCAGCAGGGCCCGAGCTGTGTGCAAACTGCAGGAGCAGAGACATGAAGGTGTGCTGGGTAATGACAGGCTGCAAGGCTGCCATTACTCTGTAATAACTGGCCTGTGAAGCTCCTCTAAGACCCCAGACTGAGATAATGTTAGGCCTGTGCAGTGCAGATGCTGTAATGAGGAATCCTCCTCCTCACTGCAGTCACCCCCTCTCCACTCATGCCCACACCTCCCTCGCTCACTCTCGGTATTGTTCCACCACGCAAGATTAAGACAGACGCAGATGTGAAGATATACAGATGTTAGAAAACCAGACATGAGACACAGAAAGAGGTGGAGCCAGGTCGATAAGGGAAACGGGCTCAGATTTGGGCCTAATGACCTTTAACACCACCCTGTCCAGACTGGAACTTTGATTCTGATCACGTCCTCATTGGTTAAACCAGACCCAGGCTAAAGTCTGGGCTTCATCTTTGACCTTTGAGCCTGAAAATGAGCTGCTGTGCTGCCTCGGCCGGGGTTCAGTTTGCTCAGACCTCAAAGGCGTAGATCTGTGAGTCGGCGTCTAGGAGGCCGTTTCCTCTCCTACGCAGCGCTCTTGTGAAACAGATGTGCCACAGCCAGGCGGGTTCGCACATTTAATCATTAACTGTCAGACTCGATGGGCGTTCCGGTGGGCGGAGCGATGCTCCTGAAGCGTTTCCCTCTTTAGCCTCAGCTGTTTCCATGCAAACTGCCCACTAAAGCCAAACACTCACACAGGTTATGAGTCACACGGTGTGCATGTTCAACAGCTCACTGAGCTCAGCACGCGCTCGCCAGCACGCGCTCGCCAGCACGCCTCACACGACCAGCACCACCTGCACCAACCTCCTGGTTCGAAGGATCAATGCAAAGGTTTGGAGCAGGGTTTGGGTTAGGAAAGGGTTACACAACGCAGTGCCTTCTGAAGTGGTGTGTGTCCGTGTGTGTGCCTGTGTTAATCTGCAGGTCAGAGCAGAGGGAGGTGAGGAGGGATTAGCCTGATCAGATGCGTCTGTCTGGTCAGGATTACGCCGTCTGTCTGCGGGTGTTTCTGTGCAGGACCGAGTCTCGGTGTGGACACTTTACCAAAGGAGCCATGACAGGTTCAGAACTGAGACCGGTTTCATAAAGTCCAACTGAGCACAGACTCAGGCGGGCGTTTGAATTCACCTCACTGAGGTCAGAGGTGTTCTCTGTCTGGCTGTAAGCCCGAGGGTTAGAGGGTTAGAGTGAAGCAAACAGCGTGGGCTGCATCATCAACAAACCACTGCTGTGATTTCTGCCTTACAACACGTACAGCTTTGTTTATGATCTAAGAGGGTTCAAATGATTTTAGTGTGGTGAGTGCAAACTAACAGCCTGGATCATTCGACTGCCTCTGCGGCAGTGAAATGTCATTTAAAGGAAAAGAATAAGAGCAAAAGGCAGGCTGAGAGGCAGCGAGGAGCTCATGGAGCTTAAGTAACTCGAGTGAAACTCCGAACGACTCGCCTCACTTCCTGCGCAGAAAACTAAAATGTGACGAGGACCAAACGACACGTTCATGCTGCACGATTTCTAATCCGGTTCTCCCAAACACATCTGGCAAATACATACAGCAGGTAAACCAGCAGGTGGCGCTACAGCTATTATTCAATCCAAGACATTTTTCTCAATGAAAGCGGCTCCAGTGCACTGAGACACACGAGGCACTGAGGGTCGCTGCGCTGTGGACATCCAGGCTGCAGTTCCTCTAACGTCCATCGGAGGCTCCAGCAGGGAGTCAGGCTCACGGCAGAAAGCGTGTGAGTCAGTGAGGGACACAAGTTTGAGTTATCTGATAAATCCTGAGCTGAGGCCGACTAGTGAGGTCTTTGTCAGACACAATTCTTTTCTCAGGCTTAAAAATAATGAAGTGGGCGGAGCTCCGGGCCTACAGGTGATGACAGAGTGATTAATGAAAACTCCAAAGCTGACCAGCAAACAGGTGAAACAAAGAAAACCAATCGTATCGCCCGCTCTAACGCTTTTAGGGTGTTTGGGTTTTTACCTGTAGACTAACTTCCTGTTAGCGATTAGTGGTAGCACAGGTTGGAGGTCATTTCCTCTCCCGGTGAGCGCCGAGGCTGATTTAGTGTAAAACTGGTTATGTAACAAAACGGCAGTCTGTCGCAGAGGCTTTACAGCCACACACAGGCGCACACACAGACACACACACAGCGATATAATCACCTCTAATTCAGCAGGCTGGCTCGGTGCTGCCTGTGCAGCCTGACCGCGGCTGCACTGGGAGCACTGGGCAGAGTGAGGGTGCTGGGATAAAGCCGGGGGGGGGGGGCATCGATTTGATTCGGTCTGTGAGCTCACGCCTTGTTTTCAGACTCGCAGCTCCTCATCAGCGAGCAAAAACAACCAAACCCAGGTTTTTGGTCTCTGAGACTCTTTAAAAACGATTCACCAAATAAACAAAGACCACAATGAAGTTAAGAAACGAACGATGACGTAAATATAAAAACAATAAGACGTGATCAATATTTGGCTGTTTGAGGCTCATTTCAACTTATTAACCTAAAGTCATTTTAAATCTGCTTATACTTATTATGCCAAACATTACATACAATAATACATACAATACAGCTATGTTCTTGTCATTTGATATTGTAATGATTTTAATGCTCATTTTTAATATAAAGTACCATAAAAATAATTGACATGCAGTAACTAGTCGATTGATCATTAAGGCTGCCACAAACGACTATTTTGATAGTCGACTAATCAGATCATCATCCACTGGACGTAAAACGTACAGCTTATTGCACCAGCAGCATCTGCTCTTATATAACTATCATTAGCTTACAGCTTTAAGTGTTTAAGGTCTGTGCTAACTAAAAATAAAGACAAGATGATCGTTTATTAAATTTTAATGAAATTTGCAGATTGTTTCGGTGAAGTTTAATAAACTCCTTGCTATCTAAAATATAACAGGACACCGGAGTAAATTCTCGAGCATCTCACACTTCTGATAATCAGCTGTCTGCTTGACGTTTATTCAGCTGTGTAAAAACTATAACTTTAATCTCAGCCAAACCGATTTACTCAGGAACAAATAAAATACTGAAAAAAGCCAAACAACAACATTTTTAAGTTATCTAAGTGACTCATATATCATGTTTAACCTGAGTAGCGAAAGACGGCGGTGGGTTTGAAAACGATTTGCCGGGAGTCCGGTGTTCTCACGGCTCTAGTGACCTAGCCCCCGGCTAGCTATCGAGCTAGTGGGTAACAGACGTCTCCGAAAACGTCGGAGCGCTTTTGAAAATATGCGGTGTCCTGATAAACTGAGCAGATATTTGAGGTTTACACAGCTACATTCTGCCTGAAAATATGTTAAACGTTTATTTTGTGACCCAGAAAGAATAATAAGAGTAATATTAAAACTAACTAGCTGCCGCCATTGTTGGAAACTGAGCTGGGCTGCGCTATGAATTCTGGGACACAGCTTCTTCTTCTTCGGGGGTTTAACGGCAGCTGGCATCCTTGTACATGCAGTGCTGCCATCTTCTGTTTCAGTCCGTTATTACACTCTTAAATCCTGCTACTTATTCCTGCGTCTTTCAGGATCTTACAAAGCTTCAAACGACGCGTCGACTATTAAACCAGTCGTCGATGATTTTGATAGTCGACTAATCGTGCCAGCCCTATTTATCATATTTGGAATTAAATAATAATAATGATAATAAATAAGCACTAAAAGTTTGTTCTTGAGCTTATTTGATTTTTTAAATGCGATTTATTTTGTCCGCTTCGGTGCTCTGTAGATGGCCTCAGACACAGGCTGTTCCCTTTGCTGTGCCTGGATCTTTGCCCACAGGATGAATCTAATAAACGCTCTGTGATGTTTTCCGGCAGCTGGAACAAATCGATTGAAGCTCGATTCATGTAAAGTGCAGATTCTTGGGTTCTGCGGGACTCCCTGGAGCCTCCGCTCAACATTTATTCATCAAATTAAAGTCAATACTTGTAAAAATGAAACGTGCCAGATGCAGAAAACACTCAATAATGAGGAGGTGACGGACGGCGGTGAGAAGAGGAGGACGACGCGGTTTCTTTAAAGGCGTTTAACGGCAGCCGAGCTTAGATCTGTGCAGATCCCCGCTAAGACGCTCTCCGGGCAGACCCGGCGTCGCTGACCTGCTTGGCAGCTCGTCTGGAGGAAGATTTGGGGACTAATGACTAAAAAGGAGAGCTCATGAATATACAGCTGTCCTTCAGCGCCGCCACGGCCCCAAAATAACTCGGAGAATTTGGGAATGTGGAGCACTTCAATCACTTAATTCCACTCAGTGAAAGGAGGAATTAGCTTTTTGTCGTCTCCCCCGTGAGGCTCTCAGACGAGCTGAGGACGACGGCCTCGGCAGCTCTCAGAGTGGCTGCTTTTTAAACACTAGCAGCAGAAGAAAAGACGCCTGCTGTCACTCCCATGAATTCAAGTCATGTTTTATTCACAATCGGTCCGAAAAATGATGTTTACATGTTGTAATGTCTGCAGGTTTGGCAGCAGAGTGATGCAGACGATGATGTACATCAGCTGCATTAGTGAGTCAGTGCAGGCGTGTGGCTAACGTTAGCGGTGTTTCCTGATTTTAAAGTTGATTAAGAGTGATGCATCGATGCAACTTGATGAAAACACAGATTATTGTCTGTGATGAAAAGAATCCTGTTTCAGTCGAGGGAACCAGAGCGGCACCGATCCGGTGTCTCACAGATGTTTCAGCCAATCACAGGAAGTGAAACGCCAGCATTGACCTGTAACTGAACTACGCTGTGGACACATGACTGCTCACTGCACCACCTTGTGGTGCAAAGTGGTATCACACCAAAGTACAGCACGGCCCTTTGTCCACACTTCAGCTGACATCACTGCGGCTCCTTTCTGCTCACTTTGGAAGGTTTTTAAGTATTTTTAAAGACACATATTTAAAATAAGCAGCCCTAATGACGCCAGCGTTCTCATTTAGCCTGTCATTAGCAACCTGCCAAACTTTGCTGAGACCTGTGAGAGCTTCAGAGGTCACGAGTGGGGTTCTCGCAGACCCACGCTTCCTGCTGGAGAATATTTACAGCTCGTCTCAGGCTTTGAGTTCATTTTAATGATTAAAATCACAGATTTATCATTTTCTTTCAGTTTGTTCATCATTTCCAGGAAGCGCGTCGTAACGCTGGTATTGAAACGTGCGGTACAAACAAACTTTATTATCACTGTTATTATCTGTTTGTGTCTGAGCTGGAAAATCGTTTGACTGCACGTCTGACGTGTTCTTCATTCCCTGATCAAAAATCTACAGATTTCAAGTCTGAATATTTTCCAACAACACTGCAACTTTAGAAGCTGTTACAGATACGACAATAACAGCTCCACGGTTAATTATTCTCTCAGCTCTCACTCACGTGTCTTATCTGCAGTCCGGTGTTGGGATGTCAGCCTCAGATGTAACGATCAGTGATGATGATGATGATGATGCTGCTCTGGTTTCACTTCAGAAACAGGACTTTAAAGCTTCTAACTCACAAACTTTTTCCCATCACACCCTCTTCTCTCAAAGTATTGTTTTAATTTTCACTCTCCACATTCCTCACAGCAGCAGCAGCTCCATCAGTTCAGTGAATCAACAGTAAATCATCCAGACTGGGAGGAGGTCTTCCTCCTCCTCCTGTTCTTTCAGCACATTATTTTCCCATGAATACTGCTGAATAATGTTCTTTAATTTAAACCTCAGTGGCCGCCCCGGCACACTACATAACTCACATTTCCTGCAGGACAGTGAGAGCTGCTGCACCTCCAAAACTTCCCTGAGAGGTGGAGATGCTTCAGCCTGATGGAGCTGCAGTGAAACCAGACCTACAGGTTGTTTTACTCCGATTAAACCTGCTTCTGTTCACGATGATTCATTAAACCACAATCGGTGACCACCCATGTGTGGAACATGAGAGCAGCTAGTTTTGTAGTTTTTGGCTCTGAAATCTCATTTGTTACACGAAAATCTAAGAAACCACTCATTCCATCGCATTTTGTCGCACCGCGCCAAACTCCTTTTAAAAATATGGCACTTTAATGTTTCTTTGCTTGCTAAGCACAGCACACAAGGTAAATAATATTAAAGAAATGCCGTTTTAGAAATCGGGAACAGCGCTTTAATTCGGCTGGTTCAGTTCCAGCCCACACTTACATTTCATAACCAAACAGATCTCTTTAAAAGTCCCAGCCTGTTGTTCCCGGTGATGAAGAGCAGCAAGGATCCACGGATGGAGTTGGGATCGATGACATAAAGATGGGGACCGGTGTGTACGCGGTGTGTGAGTGACCCCGACACACGGAGTCGGGATCAAACCCGAAACGTGCGCAGAAGCAGCGTAGCAGTGCGGCGGAAAACCCGCAGTTTTTAACCGGAGTCCGGCGCGCCGCCGGGGCTACATTACATCACTTCTAGCAAACTTCACGGGAGAACAATGAGGGCGAAGCAGCTTCGGCGGGCCGGGCTGACCCGGGCACAGCCTCCAGCTGGCAGCACGGACTCCGGCCGGACGGGGAGCCCGGCAGCGCCAGCGGGTCCCGGTTGTGCCCGGTACCGACAGCCTGGTGACACTGCTGCGTTCCGAGGCTCGAGTTGAACACGCAGGCGAGAAAGCGGAAACACGGAGGCATGAAAGGAGCTCACCTGTGGCCGGAGCAGCGAGGCAGAGCCCGGGGGAAGGCGGCCGGCGTGTCCGGGGAAGGAGCGGCGGCGGAGGTTATTGTGTTTGAAGCGGCAGGACGGAGGGGGAGGGGTTACTACCTGCAGCATGGGGCGCGAGCACCAGCGCGTGCGCCGGTGCGATGGTGTGTGAGCACGTGAGCGCGTGCGTGCGTATGAGACGGAGGCTTCCGAGGACTGCTGCTGCTCCTCAGGGTGATTCAAGTAAAAGTCAAGCAAAGGTCCTTTACTGAACCGGGAAAAACACCGGAACTAAGCTCCGTTGGTCACGCTCATGTGTGTTACACCTGCAGTAAAACACGTCACAAAGTGTGCACGCTCAGCCGCTGAGCCAGCATTACCTGTATATAAAAGATGGACATTTTTGCTGCCAAGACAGAAGAGCCCTGTTAGGACGAGAGGGTGGAGTTACAGACACTGATAGGTCTGTAGTACGGTGACCTCACAGCAGCCATGTTATTGGTCACACAGGCTGTATCCCTATTCAGGGTCTGCAGCCTTAAAGGCCGCATTTTAAGGCCGATTACGTCACCGCGACGCAACAAAGGCTGTCCCAATCCAAAGGCTGCTCGAAATGCGGCCCTCAAATGCGTCCTTCATTTCCCTGAATTTTAAGGACGTGGCGGTGTAGACTTCGTGGCCCAACATATCCCAGAATGCATAGCGCGGCGGTGGGTGTGGATAATTTTGCCGAAAAAAACGGCAGATGAGGGGCACCTGAAGAGTACACTTTAAGTACTGAATATGATGTCACTTATTGATGTGCAAATGTTTAATAACGAAGAACATTAAAACATTCCTGTTGGCCACATGTCGGCAAAGTCATGTGACATTAGTGACGTTTGTACTAACTTGGTTTTAAAGCCTTTACTTTAAAATATACGTCGTTCAATAGCTGAGCTCAATCTTACAGAGAATGATCAAAGCTCGTGTAGAAACAAACAAATGAACAAAAGATTTTCTCCTTCATTTCTGTCAAACAAAGCTGTATGACACGTTTCCAGCTGTTAGTATCATGGTTGCTAGGCAACCTGGGCAGCGCAGCGGAGGCTAGACCGTCCCATTTCACAAGCCTCGCACTTCCGGCCTTAGCGGTCTTTAAGTACGCGGCCCTTGAGGATCGTTGAAGCTGCAGACCCTGAATTGGGATACAGCCATTATGTCATTAAAAAGGCTCCATCAGCACAAACACAAAGCTAGCAGCTACAGCTGTCTGTGTCACCATCCACTTGTCAGTCACAGAGGCCACGCCCCTAATAGTCATTTGTCTCTGCCTCCTGAAACGAACCCCTGATAAACTGTTAGTCTCTGTTCTCCACTATGTAAAACTGTGTCATCTGCATATAGAGGTACTCTCCTTCTCTACGTTCCTCTTTGACTTCCTCTTATCGCGTAACAAACTTTAATATAGCTGTAATTAAGGTGGAAATGATCATTTGTGTATCAGGCTGTAAACATTTCTCATGTGAAGTTTTAACATGAGTCTATGGGGGCTGACTCATGCTGGAGCCTCTGCTGGACACTAGAGGAACTGCAGCTTTTGGGCCTAGAGCACTGATGCTTTAAAGTTATCGTTTCGCCCCCCAAACGTCCTCGGGTGTGTATATCTAACATTTTTTCTCCCTCACTCTCACTAAGTAACATGCAAGCAGCTTGTATAATGACGTTTTTTCTGAAGTATGCTTTTACAGTAAATCTCTGGTACCGCCCGTTTCTTTGATCCAACATGTAAGAGCGGCTAAGGGACATTTGTTGTGTTTTTAAAAAATGATGAATGTTTTTGTGCTAAATGTGTCCTAACACTGGACCCTTTAGGATATATTTAAAATAAACACATGGATTTACTGTGAGATTAGGTGAATTCAGTATGATCACATTTAAATAAAGTCATGAGCTTATCAGCACAGTTGTATCTGAAAACAAGTGACTAATCTGGGAGTGTGATGGTGAAAATAAAGACCTGCAAGCTGACTGTGCAGCACGCAGCAGTGCTGAAGTCATCAGCCGACCGTGTGTGTGTGTGTGTGTGTGTGTGTGTGAGGCTCTATCGATGAGGTTATTGATCACATTCGGAGCACAGGAGGACACTTTGGGCTCAGCTCTGACTGCAGGAGCTGCACAGGGCTCATGATGCGCACGTTTAAACCATCATTCATGGTTTTAATAAGTAAAAGTCCTTTCTTTTCCTTGAGTCGGCACACACACTGACATGGACAGATGAAGAAAATGTGGGGCCCGGGCACAGCCATAGCAACCCCCCCACACATACACACACCCCACCTATCTGTGAGAATACAGAGTTAAGACCTTCACTGGAAAGGGCATAAAACAACTTGTTCTTATTTTTGTCCATTTTTAGTGAAGTTAAAAATCTTCGGTTCCTAATGAATTTGGAGAAACAGGGAAAGAAGAAAGACCCAGAAAACACATTAAAATGCTGCCCCCTGGTGGTGAAAAAGCAGAGGGTTCTTACCAAACTGCAGCTGGAGATGATTTTAATGACACATTTACTGCTGTAGCTTTGTCTATAACAATCCAGCATCATAGATATTCAGTGATGTCAAACATAAGGCCCGGGGACCAGAACTGGTCCTGCACAGACCCCTATGTGGCCCACTGGGCAGTTTTGGAAAATATGAAGCATGGCACAGATTTTGGGCTTGTAACTGAGAGCTCCACCGTGGCTGTTCACACTTCATGACCAAAGTAGTGAAGGAGCAGAAAAATCAGTCAAATAAATGAGAGAAAAATCCTGTTTTTGATTTTCGACTGTGCGTTGCTCACCGTGGCCCACATCTCAACAGATTTAGAATTTTTTATTTGCTAAATATGATAACACAGCAAATAGATTAAAACTGGATTTTCCACAGTTTGTTATATTTTCAGCCTGACTTTTATACTGAAAGGGTCACTCCCAGACCTCATACAGCTGCTCACATGGAAACAAATGAAACCGCAGCAAAACAAAATTAATTTATGGTTTTTATGTCACAGAGAAAATTGAAGCTGAGTGACTTTATGAGTGGAAACAGCTGCAGTCCAGAAACAACAGCAGCAGCACTCGATGAACCCCAGGGAACACCGGCCCAGAGAAACGATGCTCATAGAACACAGTCATTAGAGAATCGTTTAATATCAGAACGTAAAGACTTGTTTCTTCTTGCAGAGGATCTGCTGCAGCCACGGTAAAAACAGGAGGAGGGCCGAGCAGTAAGTCCACGCTGTTTAATGAAATAACAGGAGCGGCTCGGCTCATGTTTGGGTGGAGAACACGTCTGAACCGCAGTGCAGCCTCAAACATTCCTCTGCTGGGAGGAATCCGCCTGGCTCTCGTTAAACTGGGCTGAACCGGAGCGCAGCAGCAGACGCTTCACGCTCGTTTGTTTGCTTCTGACTTTTTAATTAAAAGCAGACGATGTCAGTGTGAACGTGCCAAAAGACTCTCCGCTGCCTCTCTTTCTTTCTTCTGCAGTTTCTATTCTTTAAAGTATTAAAGAGACTCTCGGGAAAGTGGAAGCACCTTAAAGCTGCAGTCTTTTTGATGGCCAGCAGGGGGCGATCTCTGAGCTCGCTCAACTCTTTAATCTCGATTCACGTCTGACTGAATCAGGTTAGGAGGAGGGTGGTTTTCCACCCAGAGGGAGGCAGAGTGAGCGGTACAGAGGTCAAAGGTCACAGCACACAGACAACAGTGGTTAGAGGGAGTGTGTGGTTAAAGTGGACAGACGCCATGTTTTTACTGTCAAATGTGAGAGCTGGGCCTTTAAACCGCGAACACGTAAAATCTGTGAATCTTCTAATGCAGCTGTTCACAGGACTAATTAACAGCTCTCACCAATCAGATCGCTGCATTCAGCAACAAGAGTGCTCAGAATGCATCCCGGTACTTAATCACTGGCACTTTTCTGAACCAGCCTTTCTGACAAACAACCTCAACATAAACCGACCAAATCAGATCAGGAGGCGGGCTGTGTCAGCCGATGTTTTACTTCAGAGGTGCAAAGCATGATGACTGTGAGCTCAGGACTCACAGCTTAAATCACAGCGTGGGGGAACAGCCAAGCTGATCTCAGATCAGTCTAACTGCACTGACGGGATATTTCCACTGGTGGAAACTGTCCAGCCTGTTTCTGAAGCTCCTGCTGAGATGTTCCACTGCTGAGTGACGCTTATCGCCACCAGCTGTGTTTATCCACGCCAAAAAAAGGCACAGTGTCCTCCGAGGGCTGCCACATCAGTCTAAAGTTATCTTCTCGTTCCTGTGTTTCACTGTCCTGCTACAGGCGGTAACAAGTGTCAGTGACCAGGTTTCAGCTCATTTACACACAGCGTGTTCATCAGAGAGCGCTGGCACAGATTTATACTGTTTCTGTTTGAGCCTGAGAGCTTCAGCAACAACGTCAAAGAACAAAGGATGGAAATCTGAAAACAGAGCACACACGATGGGGTCCAACATGGGACAGGGCTGTAAAGTTTCATTGGTTTAACAGCCTGAAGTGTGTGCCTACAGGGCTGGAAACGCTGCAGTTCCTCTAACATCCAGCAGAGGCAGCAGTGAGTCATAGACTCCCATGTTAAAACTTTCCAGCAGAAATAAACATGTTTACAGCCTGATACACAAACTGTTTGATCCCTGTAGATACTTTCACCTGTATTTTATTTTACTCAAGTTTTTAAATTGGATTAAGGCTTAAAGTTTGCAATGTTAGGGGGCGTGGCCACTATGACTGACAGGTAGATGGTGACACAAGCTGTATCCAAATTCAGAGGCTGCGTCCTCCTCAGGACCCAGCCTTCGCGTTCTACGTGGGCCGGGTCCTTTGAAGACTGAGAAGGCTGGAAGCGTGAGGCTGTGAAATGTGACAGTCTGGCCTTCAGATCTGCGTCAGCGCTGTCTCTGTGGAGTTTAATAAACTCGGCTGTCTGCTCCTTGCTATCTAAAATATAACAGGACACTGGAGTAAACTCTCGACCGTCTCACACTTCTGATGATCAATCAGCTGTCTGCTTGACGTTTATTCAGCTGTGTGAAAACTAGAACTTTAATCTCAGCCAAACCAATTTACTCAGGAACAAATCAAACACTGAAAAGTTATCCAAGTGACTTATATATCATGGTGTCTGACAACGATGTGCCGGGAGTTCGCTGTTCTCGCCCCGGTCAGCTATCGAGCTAGTGGGTAACAGACGTCTCCGAAAATGTCGGAGCGCTTTTGCAAATATGCGGTGTCCTGACAAACCGAGCTGATATTTGAGGTTTACACAGCTACATTCTCTCCTGAAAATGTCTTAAAACTTTATTTTGTGACCCAGAAAGAATAATAAGAGTAATATTAAAACTAAGTAGCTGCCGCCATTGTTGGAAACAGGAATTGAGTTGCGCTATGAATTCTGGGATATGGTGGGCCACGAGGAATACAACCGACCCATCCTTCAAGTCTGGGGAAAAGGCTGAATTTGGAGGCGTCTATGAATTTGAACAGCCTTCGCCGCGTTGCTGTGATGTAATCGGCCTACAAATGTGGCCTCAGGAGGATGCGGCCTTTAAACACACACACACAGACCTATCAGAGGTTTGTTCCTATGCAGTTTGGGTGTTTTGACCTTCACTTGGCTTTTCCTCCAATGACCCTGACGAGAAGCCAGCTACACAAACTGTTTCGGCCTCTACAGATAATTTCTTGCTTCACGGGAGGACACAGGAAGGAGCTATTCTGCTTTTGACGTTTT